GCCATATTTCAGTGCTGTGCAGGAGGGGGTTGTGCTGCTTTTTCATACCCACGTTCTGGAAATTAAAACCTGTTTGGCAAGAGCCAGAACACAACTCGCAGTGAAGAGCTGAGCTGGGGGAATGCACTGGAGGGGGGCTCTGCTGCAGTCCCTGTGTGTCCCCCCAAGCCACCCTGCCCCATCTGTCCTTTGGCTGGTGGGGTGATGCTCCCATGGGATTCACCATCCCACGGGCACCCGCTGGTGCCAGCCCAGCACAAATCTCTGCAGCTTCAGGGCACAAGAGGGTGAAGAACCACCTGTCTGACAATCCTTCCCTGTTGGGAAGGGGCAGGGAAGTCCTGATTCCAGCCTCTGGGAGCTCCACTGGTTTTATTCAAGCACAGAAATTTGGCTGCTCTCTTTTCCTCCCTCTTCTCACGATGCAGCTTATTTCGCCCCATCCCTGGAAATGTTCCAGGCCAGGTTGGACCGGGGCTTGGAGCAACCTGGGATAGTGGGAGGTGTCCCTGCCCACAGCAGGGGTGTGGAAAGAGATGAGCTTTAAGGTCCCTTCCAGCCCAACCCATAATAATGGTTTGCACCAGCACCAAAATTGGCAGATGCCAATTTGGGGTTTATAGTGGGGAGTGAGGTGCTGGACACGCTGAGGTTCAACATCCCAGCCAGCACCCCCCTCAAAAGTGGCTCAGACCACAGAGCCAGGACTGGGATGCAGAGGGACAGACGGGCACAGACAGGAGTGGCCCAGGAGCACTCAGCCCTGTGATGCTGCTGGGCAGGATGAGACCCAGAGCTCACTGGAGCCAATGGAAAGGCTCTTGCTGATCCAACACCACCTGAGCAAGGTCTCCAAAGAGCTCCCGTGGGCTGACAGAACTGTGGGGTTGGATGGTCTGGGATTTCAGAAGGCAAATCACCATTTTTGTAACTTAATTAAGAAGTTTTACCCCCCTTTTTAGTGGTATTTCCTTCAGAGCCACGTGCCCACAGGACACAGAGCTGTTAGGCATTGTCACTCAAAACAACCTGCAGGTCTCTTAAGGCTCTGCCAGAGCTCCAGGGCCTTTTGGGCCAACCTCTGACTGGTACAAAGCATTGGGGTGGGGGTCACTCCCTCTGCACTGCCCAGACACCCCCAGGCAGCTCCGAGACTGCCCTGAGGAAGGAACTGCAGAGGAAAGCTGAGGAAGGAACTGCAGTGGAAAGCTGCACTTATCCTTCCCAGAAGAGCCTGACATTGATTTATGGGATGCTCCCAGCCCTGGTTTTGCAAGAGCATGACGTGGTGGTGGAAGGTGTCGGGAGATGCCGCGCGGGCCGTGCCGGTGCCAGGTGAGGCGGCAGCGCCTGCTCTGCACACCCAGACACGAGGCAGTGGCTGCAAACACAAACACAGACATTGTTTTTAGGTGATAGCCGTGCCCCCCCAGCCCCCTTCCCAGCTCCTTGTGAGAGGACAGCATTCCTGTCTCACATTCCTCAGCCACTGCTGAGCCGGGGAGGGGAGAGCCGAGCCAGAGGAAAAAGCACCAGGTTTTAATGAGGAGCCTGGGCCGGGTGGTGTGGGCAGGGAGGGGGCAGGATTGCCCATAAAGCAAGATAAAATGTGCGTGGATCAGGGAACAGGGGGAATTACACAAGAGCCCGTGGATGTAAGAACGTCAACCAGATGTTCCCGAGGCGTGGAAAATCAGTGGCTTCCCAACAGATCCGCTTGGAGCAGCTGAAAGCATCCTTCATCCCACAGGGGCAGGAGGAGAGGGGGGTTTGGTCCAAGAACACAGAATCACAGGATCATTCAGGTTGGAAAACACCTCCAAGATCATCAAATCCAACCTTTAAGTATCAAGTCCATCGTGGGGCAGGACTGCGGCCGCTGGCTCCGAGCTGTGTGAGAGCTTTTAAGGAGAGGAAATCCTCAGTGCAACGGCAGATGGAAAGGGAAGAGGGTTTTGCTGGAGAGGGAAGTTCTGCTCCTTGCTCCAGGGCTGGCTTTGGCTCCGTGTCACAGCTGGTTGAGAGACCACCAGGAGGATGGACAGGCACCGGTTCTTCTCCAGAAGAATATCCTTGAGATACGGAATTCCCGATGGCCACAATCTGTCAGGGAGGAAGAACTGATTCCTCCAGGCAAACAGAGAAAGCACCAGGAAGCCATGGGAGCCCTGCTCTGACCCACAGCAGCACGGGGAGGGGGGAGCAGGAAAACTTCTTATTCCTGGGAAAGCTGTGTGGGTACAAACACCTCTGTGGGAGCACAGTTGGGTTCACGGCCCCAGGTCCTGTTGCTTTTACCACACCAGCTCAGGAATGGCACATCCATGAACTTCACCCTGCAACTTGCTGTTGATTTTTACCAAAAACAACAACAACAAAAAAACAAACCCCATCATTTAGTGATGGGCACCAGCAATGGCAAAATAAAGAGATCAAGGAAGGGTGAGCTGGGAATGAGTTCCCACAGGACAGCTGTTCCCAGGGCCTGGCCAGCACAGTAACCTCTGAAAGTCCTCTGACCTGCAAATACCCTCCCCAAACCAGTTAAATATATATAAATATACTGAAATATGGAAACAAAAAGCTTTTTATTTCGTGTGCTGAGAGTGCCAAGTGCCTGCAGGAGCCAATAAAGAACTGTTGCTCCAGGGAACGGGGAGCTGCCTGTCAGGTAAAACACAAACAACCCAAAGCCTTACCCAAAACTTGAACCAATCCCAAAATTAAAAAAAAAAAAAAAACAAACCAAAAACAATCCAACAACCAAAACCAAAAGCTGAGGTTTTGCAAAAGAGGAGGAAAAGTGTGGTTATGTGTTTTTAGGGTTTGCCCTGTCCTGGATCCCAGCCTGGACCACAGGCCAGGCCCTGGGAAGGACAGGCTGCTCCAGCTGCAAGAGCAGTGGGAAACATCTTCAGAGGGACCTGGAGCCAAGCTGAGAGGCTGCAGGGATGGCAAACCCTCAGGAAAACACTCCTGGCCCCTGCCCAGGCTGCTTTACCCAGGGACACAGTACACAGAGGGGTCTGTCCCTGCAGGAATCTCACTGCCATCACTGCTCCTGATGTCTGAGCTCTACAGCCACCTGAAGGGGGGTTGTGGTGAGGTGGGAGTCAGGCTCTTCCCCCAGGTAACGAGGGATAGGATAAGAGGAAACAGCCCCAAGTTGTGCCAGGGGCGGTTCAGGTTGGACACTGGGGAAGATTTCTTCACTGAAAGAGTGGTCAAACATTGGAACAGGCTGTCCAGGGAAGTGCTGGAGTCACCATCCCTGGAGCTGTTCAGAAAACAAGCAGATGTGGCACTCTGTGATGGGGTTTAGTTGACACGGGGTTATTCAGTCAAAGGTTGGACTCCCACAGCCTGGCCCACCAGCCAGGCACCCCAGGGAAGGCAAAACAGCCTCAGCCCCAGTGACAACTGTCAGATAAACTCCCAAAAATCTCCATAAAACAGAAGCAAAGGAAGGGACCAGGTGAAATTATGACCCACAAGAGCCAGAGCTGCTCTACACTGGGACAAGGACAAAGGAAATCCCCACTCCTGTGACACCAACCCCACGGCAGGGTCTATATGGGCTGTGTGTTTTAGCCTTAAGTTACTTAAAAAGAGCTTTAAAGCCAAAACACTGTTAGAAAGTACATTGTGTGCTCCGCTGGGAAGATAAATTTCATTATTTCAACTTGAAAAGGTGACTCATCCAACATCTATTCTAAAAAGGCATAAAAACACACACACAACGCAGCGAGATTTTCGAGGAGGGCAGTGATTTAGTGTCTCTTTCTTTCTCTCCCCACACTTCTTGCCTCCTGCACAAGGATCTATTGAGAAGCTGCAGAACAAACGTTCCCTTATGCAGCTCCAAAAAAGTCTCCGTCAGTTTGTCTGAGACAGCTGCCTCCCAGCACACTATGGTTACTCATTAACCGGGGCTCCCAGGGCACGGGAAGGAGGAATAAACTTAATAGACCCTAAACCAGAGGCAAGGGGGGGAAAAAAATAAATAAATAATATAAAAAACCAACCCAGCAAAGCACATAAATACATCAGGTGTCCTGGAAAATAAAGTGGGGAAAAAGCAGGTGGCACCGGGAGCACCTCCACGAGGCAGAGGGTCCCGGCTGTGAGGGGCTGCGGGAGCAGGAGGGGACAATGACACCGAGGGGAAACGTATGGGGACAAAAGGGAAAGATTATTAAAGGGAGAGAGAAGAAAGAGAGGGGACAGAGAGGCACTTGTGCTCCGCGGTGCTTTATATGCCCGGGGTGCCGGGGAGGGATTACTTCACTTCATTCCCGCAAAGTTGCCCGGCTCTGCTCCCCTCTGGAGGGATTCATTCCCTCCCCCTGCCCCCCCCCGGCACGTTTTGCATGAGAATGAGGGGCTGCTTTGGCTGGGGAGTGTTTTGCAGGGGGTCAGTTCGCTCCCGAGGCCCCTGTGCTGCCAGGAGAGCCGGTGGGTGAAGTGTCCTGGCAGAGGGTGGGAGTTCTGCTGCCTCCTCCTTGGCTTCCCCCTCCCAGCCCCAATGAGCCATGCTGGTTCTCCCACGGGATCTGCAGGATGAGAGGCCTCCTCCAGCCCACGGGTGGGGCGGGTTCTGCCCAGGCCAGGTGGCACCAGGTGCTGCCCTGCCATCACCACCCCCTTCAGTGCTCCCTCCATAGAAAACACATCCCCAGGGTCGGCTGCACACTGTGCCTTCATTCCTCACCTTCCCCACACACAGATTTTGGGGAGAAAGACATCCCAGGAATCACAGAATAGTTTAGGTTGGAAAAGCCCCCCCTAAGATCCTCGAGTCCAGCTGTTCTCCATCCACCAACCATTCCCCATGGGCCACTCACCCACGTCCACGTGCCTTCTAAATCCCTCCAGGGATGGGGACTCCACCCTGCCCTGGGCAGCTGTGCCAGGGCTGCTCAGCCCTTCCCATGAAGAAGTTTTTCCCAATATCCAACATAAACCTCCCCTGGCACAACTTGAGGCCCGCTGCTGGTTACCTGGGAGAAGACTCCGATGCCCACCTGGCTCCAGCCTCCTGCCAGGGATCTGCAGAGCTCAGGGGCTCATCTGCAGGGCAGGTCCATGGCAAGGCAGGGGGTCACAGCCTGCTGAGAGCCACTGTGTCCCCAGGCTGTGTCCCCAAATGCCTGGGCACACCAGGCAGCCTCAGCAGAGGGAAGGTCTGGTGCCACCTGACATCCCTGGGAGATCCTGATGGAGAGGGATAATTGCAGTTGTAATAAAAAGCTGTATATAGCTGTGAACAGGGCAGTAAATCAGCCCTGCCTGCCCTCCAGTGCTGCTCTGAGAAGCCTCAGCCACTGGCAGGATTAATCCTCTGTTTTCTGTTTGCCCAACACTCTCCTCGAGATAAGGGGGGGGGGAAAGGCTCTGTAATTATCTCCCTGCCTTTTGTCATGTGCTTTTTGGAAACAATTAAGGGATTGCAGTCAAAGGAATGGGGTGGGGATGGAGCAGAGCCAGGACATCCCTCTCCCACAGGATCACAACCCTTGGGATCCATCCCCAGCTGGCAGCAGAGTCCTGGGATCACCTTCTAGATGGGATATTGGGAAGAAATTCCTCCCTGTGAGGGTGAGGAGGCCCTGGCACAGGTTGCCCAGAGAAGCTGTGGCTGCCCCTGGATCCCTGGAAGTGTCCAAGGCCAGGCTGGAGCAACCTAGGATAGTGGGAAGTGTCCCTGCCCATGGAAGGGGGCAGGACTGGGTGAGCTTTAAGGTCTCTCCCAATCCTGTGATTTCCATGATTCTGTGAAAAAAAAAAAATCCCTGGTGTGACCCCTTCCAACTCTCCTCCCAGGATCTGCCCCAGGGGAGGCAGCACCTCCCATCCTGCCCCACGTGTGACACCCCCAAACAGGGAGCACCAGCGAGTGCACCAGGTACCTCCTGCCCTCCCCGGGGCTGGGATGTGCCAGCCAAGGCTGGGAGGCAGCTCTGTCCCCAGCCAGGGCAGCTGGTGCTCCAGTGGAACAGGTACCTTGTGACCGAGTTCCTGTAAGATGTGAAACATCTGGAGCTCGGCGGCACAAGGCGGCCTTTGTGCAGCTGGGAAACCACGGGCAATAAACCAGCACTTGTCTGGGAGAGCTTCAAGGAGAGGGGGAGGGCGGGGAAAGGACCAGAGAGAAGCCACCCCCACTGCAGAAGGAATCTCAGCCCCTTGTCGGGTCTCAGCAGCGTTTTCCACGCTCGCTGTGCCAACGGCAGCCCCACACCCTGCACAGACCCCTCAGTGTCCACTGCACCCCATCCCAAATGGGAATATCTCAGTCCAGCCTGCCTGGGTCCAAGCTGAGGCACAGCCCATGGAGCTGGTCCTGGCTGTATTAAATAATAAAATGAAATATTTGTTAATAAATACTCAGCATGTGGCTCAGGAAGGGGCATCGTCCCCTCCCAGCTCGCAGTGTTGGAACAGAAGTTGGTGTTTCCTGCTGGTATTATGAGGTATCTTGATTTGAGAAGTGCTGATCAACTAATAATTAAAAGGACCTGATGGGTTGATATCCCTTAGAAATGAATTTCCAGTAGGAACTGCCCAGCCAGTGCTGAGCACACAGGACTTGGGAAAACCAGAGCTGGGGGTCCCTGTGCCCATGGAGGCTCCTGGTCCCTCCTGCAGCTCCAGAGCATCCAAGGAAACACCAATGCTTCACCTGATCAGTTATCTTACCTGTCTGAGCACAGCTAACCCTGAGAATGGAGAGGCAGCAGAGTCCAGGAGTTCTACTCCATTCCTTGGCTAAAGGAAAGGCCCAGCAACACCTCCCCTGTTTCCCTCTGGAGCCATGGGAGGTGTTGCTGGTGCTTCCCTCTGGAGCCATGCAGGTGTTCAGTGTGGAGGTGGGCTCTGCTCACCTTTCCAGACGGGAAAAACATTTACACAGGAAAAAATTATTCCTATTAGCTCTTTGGAGCAGTGAGAGCCAGGACTGGTGTCAGAGGCCACGGATTGGGAGCCGAGGTCCACTTAAAGAACTGGAGCCCACTGGGGAGGACTGGGGAGCTCTTTCCCATCCCATAGGGCAGGGACAGCACAGCCCCTCGCTGGACCAGAGCATCCCATCAGGCATCCCAGCCCAGGCTCCTGCTCCCAGCACAGCAGAGTCTCCCCAGGAAGCCAAACTGGGCTGGAGCTGCTGCCGGCTGCACCAGGGGAGGAAAAATCCCCTAAAACCCCTTTGTCTCCTTTCCACCCACCAGTGCTGCCTTTGCACAGCAATTACCGAGGCCTCAGGGGGGTTTCACACCCAGTCACCTGGGCCTCCTTCTTCTAAACAACTTAATTTGTTTAATGACTTGGGAGGCCCCGGGGGTCCTCCCAGTCGGGATTCATTTCCCTGGTCTCCAAAGGGTTTTTCTCCCCACCCAGAACCGAGGCCACTGGAGGGATTTTGTGAAATCTTCACCAAGACCTGATTTAAGACATCCCCCCCAAATTCCCAAGGGTCTCTGACCTCCAGGGACACACCAGCAATGCCAGATTCAGGCGGAAGGAGCTGCAGACCCCACAGAGGATTTGTCCATCCACTGGCAGAGCTGAGCTGGGACAAATTATGTCCTGAAAGGAAGGAGAAAAACAAAACATGCTGTGAGATGCTGATTTGTGTTCGAAATCCAGCCCCACTCCTGCCCCTGCTTCCAGCCCGGACTGAAACACCAGGCTGGGAGAAAGAGGGATGCTCCAGCCCTCACTGGAGTTCAAACCTTGGGAAAGAGGGAAAGAAGAAGCATTGGGAATGCTCATGCTCTTGGTCTGTCCTGAACAGAGCTGGGGGAGCAGTGCTGGGGGTCCCAAGGCAGTTGGGGTCCTGGAGGAGGGGGGGGTCCCAGTGGTCATGGGGGTCCTGGAGGAGATGGGGGTCCTGATGGAGTTGGGGTCTTGGCACAGGTGGGGGTCCCAGGGAAGGTGGGATCCTGGCAGAGGGGGGGTCCCAGCAGACGTGGGGGTCCCTGGGGAAGCCCCAGGCTGGGGGGTGTCCCCCACCCCGGCCGTTACCAGCACCTCCCTCCATTGTTTCCCAGCCCGCGTTTTTCCCTATGACCTCATCTTCCCTTGGCTCTCGCTGGTGATTTTATGGCAGGGAAATTATTTTGCAGTAAAAGGAAAGCAGATCCAGGCTGTTCCTCTTCCCTCCTGTTTCCACACGGGCTCTGGAGCTGCGGGCTTGTTCCTGCTCCAGGCACAGCAGAAGGATCGTGCGGGACGAGCGGGGAGCGAGTGTGTGTCAGGCTGGGAACACTTCCCTCGTTCCTGTAAGAACACAAGGAGGCAAGAGCCAGAGAAAGATTTAAACAACTCCCCACACAAACCAGCTCTGGACACAAAAGCTTTTTAGTTATCATCAGCGTTTTGTAAGATTATATTAAAATAAACCTTCAGGCTCAGTTTCCTGCTCCCGAGATCCCCCTCGTAGGATCATAAGGCACAAAAACATTTCCCAGAAACCTCAACCAAGGACATACTGAAAATATTTTCTCCCTGCTCTTGCACAAACCCTCACACTGTAAAAGCCTTAAAACAGGAAAAGAGGCACTAAGATGGGAGCTGTGCAAACTGCAGATCCCTCAGTGTGTAATTTGCCTTCTTTTCCCATGAGGAAAAACCCTCTGGATTGAAGAATTTGCATCAGATCTGTGCCTGGATTGATGGCACTTCACCCTCACATCAACCTTTCCCACCTCACATAAACACCTGAGGAACCACATGGAGAACATCCCTTTCCACAGCCACCACCCAGATGCTGACCAGTGAAAATTAAGTATTTTAAGTAAAACAACCAGGAAAAAGTAAACCAGGAGCTCATCCATGAGCTGCAGTCCCGGGAACCCAGGACAGACACAAGCACGTAGCTTTTCTAGGGCTGGCTGACCATGCAAGACTAAATACACCCACTTAGAGAGTGCCAATAAATACCTGAAAAACAGACTCTATTAAATTAGAAGTTGGGAGTGTTCAGTCTGGAGAAGGCTCCAACCTTTCCTCCTAAAGGGGCTCCGAGAGAGCTGGACTTCAGACAAGGGCCTGGAGGGACAGGACAAGTGGGAATGGCTTCCCACTGCCAGAGGGCAGGGTTAGATGGGATATTGGGAAGAAATTCTTCCCTGTGAGGGTGGGGAGGCCCTGGCACAGGTTGCCCAGAGAAGCTGTGGCTGCCCCATCCCTGGAAGTGTCCAAGGCCAGGCTGGACAGGGCTTGGAGCAACCTGGGTTAGTGGAAGGTGTCCCTTGCTATGGCATGGGTGTGGAGTGAGATGAGCTTTGAGGTCCCTTCCAGATTTCCCAAACCATTCTGGGATTCTATGAGATCTCCTCCATAAGCCTGGGAAAAGGACACCCGGAGCTGACCTTTCTTTGTCTTCCCTCCAGTCTCCCAAACCCAGGCTTGTTCCTGAGGTGGTGGGGGGTCCACACTGGGACTGAAGCAAGGCAGAGTGGCCCGTGCAGGGCCAGCAGGATGGGATTGGGGCACCCAGGTGAGCTGGGAGCGGGCAGAGCAGCCCAGTTCAGAGCCCAGGCTCGGAGCCCGCGGGCGAGCGCACGAGCACCTCGGCTTTAATCGCTGCCTCGCTGCCAAGGACAACAAAGCCCGTGCAACAAAGAATAGAAGTCATTCTGTCTCCAGGTTTGAATTGTTCCTTTCCTAAGGGGAGGGGAGGGAGGTGAAATCCATCCCTTTATAAGCAGTGACTCAGGTGCCACGATCCACCCCGGGCGCGCATCTCGCCCGCTCCGCGCCGTGTTTGCTTTGACGCCGTGGGGCCTCATAATGGGATTATTGTTCCTTTGCGTGCAAAGCCCTCGCTTGGGGTTTTCTGGCCCCGCCCAGCCCTGCAAACCCTGAAAACCGCAGCCGCCTTCGCCTCCCCCAGCCCCCGGCACGGGCTGGCGAGCGCCCGGCACCCCCGGAGAGCCCATTCCTGCACCCTGACTCACGGCCGGCGTCACAGCGGGGTGGGGAGGCTGTGCTTCCATGGAATCATCACAGAGCCAGGGAATATCCTGAGCTGGATCCACAGGGATCAGCCACTCCAACCCTGGCCACTCACGGACACCCCAACAATCCCGCCCCGTCCAAACCCTCCTGGAGCTCTGGCAGCCTCGGGGCTGTGCCCACTGCCCTGGGGAGCCTGGGCAGTGCCAACCACCCTCTGGGGGAAGGACCTTGTCCTGAGATCCAACCTGAGCCTGCCCTGCCACAGCTCCAGCCATTCCCTTGTGGTCTGTCACTGGTCACAGAGAGCAGAGACTGGAGCTGCCCCTCAGGTGGAAGTTTCCTTGCCCAGGTTGCACAACCAAAACCACGGCCTTTTCATGGCTATTGCAGCTGGGACCTCCCAATGCTCACAGGGAAGGACTTCTTCCCAACATCCCCTCTAACTCAACTCTCCTTCACCTTCAGGCCACCAGCCACATCCCAGAGCTTTGCATCACACACTCACCACCACACGTAATCCCCTCTCCAAAGCCCTAATCCCTGGGCAAACACAGGGACAGTGCCATGCTCTGAGCTATCAGCAGCCTCTCCAGCCTCCACTTAGTTCTAAGCACAGCCCAACACTCACCCTGGGGCAGCTCTCCTGCTTGCAGAGGAGTTTCTTGTGGACACTTCCACCTCCTTCTCACCAGCTCCATCTGGCACTGGGCCCATCCTGCTCCCAGACATCTCCATGGTTCTCTGAAACTAAAAAAAAAACCCATAAGAAAAGGAGACCACCAACTCACACTGGGGGGGCTGGGTGGCTTTTAACCCCCCCTTTGCAAGAGCACCTACAGGGACTGCTTACAAAAAACTCCTTATCTTTCGGGGTTTGAGGCTGAAAAAAATTATTATTATTTTTAAACCCCAAGAATTGAAAGGGTTTGAATTCTACTGAAAATCTGATAGTGGGGACAAATCACCAGCTAAAATTTGATATTATGCTTGTAAGGGGCTCCGAGGACACTGCAAACCAGTCCAGGCACCCTGTGCCCCTCCAAAGGCTCACTGCCTCCCATCAAAAGGATGGGAAGAGTGGGAAACCCCTCCCTCTGGGCTCACCATGGGTGCTGTGGGCCAGGGGTTCTCCCCATTTTCCAGGGGCAGAGACACAGGATGGGGGTTCGGTGGCATCGCCTTGCCTGGGCTGTGGCAGGGACCACCCCAGTCCCTCAGCTGCATCCTGACACTCCTCCAAGCACAGAGTTCAGGCCAAGCATACCCCAGGAGCTCAAAAACCATCTCCAAGCATGGGATAACTCTCCTGTTTTCCCTCCAACCTGATCTCTTGACAATTCCCAGCTCCTCCACCCAAGGGTCCGAGCCCATCTCCATTTTGCAGGCCTTGGCTGGGTGTTCATATTCCCTTCACTCCAAACTCCACCTTTCCACTGACACTTACTGTTTCCACAGGCAATTCCAGGCCTGGCCCCCCGCCAGCTTTTCAATCACACCAAGGAACAGAGAGATAATTTCATTTCCCCCCAGGGGACAAACAGAAAAGATGGATTTTCCTACGTGCTTTCTGCATCACCCTCCCCACTCGCTCCCTAGGGCTCCAATGTGCATCATCATCATCATCTGGGCTGGCTACATCCAAGCAGGATTAAATGCTTTCCCTGATATTATCTCGCAGCAATCTGATTACAAGGCTGCCTTTAACTGTATAATGTGGTTTTTTGTACCAGCTTACACCACACGCCAGGAATCAAACCAGAAAATATCCCTGGCAGGCTGCAGCAATCCCGACCCGTGGGCACCACTGAGGATTTTAAGGTTTTTAAGGCTGCAAACAGATGGCTAAAAGCTTTACAGACACTTTTCATGTGCCTGGAAAGGAGGGGAAGAGCAGTGGGAGATGCTGCAGCCTGGCCACTGGTGGCACTGGGAAGGAGACACTCTGATTCCCAGCCGTGCCAGGTCCATTCCCTCTCCAACCCCAGCATGGCAGGGACAGACAACACCTGCTGCTTTTAAAAAAAAGGGTCCTGACACCTCTTGTTTTTCCCACCGAGGGCCACCATCCCAAATTTCCCCCGTGCCTGGACATACCTGGCTCACCTCCGCAGCCCAGCGGCCCCCAGGGACACAAGCTCACCGGTGTCTGGATGAGGCACTGCAAAACTGCCTTTCCTTGGCTTTTTATGCCTTTTTTTTTCATCCCCAAAGCAGTTGCCTTGCTGGCCAAGAGACAGGACCTTGCACAAGCCGGGAACAACTGAGCTGGAGAAAGGAAACACAGCAGAACAGAGGGAGAAGAAGCAAAGCTACGGCTTTACAGCATGAAAACAAATCAGTGCAAACTCTCAATTTCCCATTTATTGAAACCAATCACAGTTGAAAGGTCAAATCCATTGGCAAACAGTAGTTTTGTATCATCCAGAGTGATCCACAAATGAAGCAGAAATTAAATCCAACCAAAAAAAAAGAACCAAATGGAAATGCACAACTCCAGCTTAATTCATTCAAGCCCATTCCCTTTGGCTGCCCCTCCAGCAGGTGATCCGAGACATCCCAGCACCACTTCCAGAGGCACTGAGCAGCAGGAGGCAGCCAGGTGATCCAGTTATTGCCACGGGAGGGTCTAAGGAAGCCCTTTGTGCTGAAGATTGAAGCATCCCTAGTGAGGGGGAGCTGGGATTTGCAGCATCGTCCCAACTTGGGCGATTCCCTCCTCACTGGAGCGTGCGCCGGGCACAGGGATGGGCAGGATTCACTCCTCAGCCTGGAAGGGATCAGTCCTGCCTGCTCAGGAAGAGCCATTCCACAAGAGAGGCTTGGAAAGCACCAGGTGAAGAGGCAAGATCCATGTTGCATCTTTCTGTCTCTTCAGGTGGGATAATTAATTCATCCTGATGAACTGAATCCATCCTGATGCTGCTCAGGAAGATGAGGGTTCCTGGCACACTCAGGGGCTGACTTGGCTCCAGGCTCTTCTGCGGGTGAAGTGTGACCAGGACCATCACCACCAAACCTTCTGCTGGTTCTTCAGGGAGTTATGGCCCACCAGAACCAGCAATCCCTCAAGAAGGACAAACACAGGTCCACGTGGAATTGCATCCAGCATCAGG